TACTTAGATAGGATGCAGCCTTTTTCTTAGATTTATATAACGCTAATTTATTCTACATCTTTATTTTTTTAATTTTTTTATAAAATACTTTTTTAAGTTTTTTTTTTATTATTTTTATTACCTAGGCTTTTAGCTTTTAGTAAGGGAATTTTTAAAGTTTTCTTTTCTTAGAGTAGTAACTACTACTCTGCTTTACTTATTTATAAACTAGGCATTTATTATTATAGCATGCTAACTAGGTTATGTGTGCATAGTTATTAAGAGTTTCTATAGTTATAGTTTTCTAATTAATTATAAAGTTATGCATTCTAAGCTAGTTATAGCCTAGAATTACATTATATTTACCTTCTAGCTTAAGTATATTTATAAACCTCTAATTTTTTATATTTAAGGTTCTAAAGTTTTTTTTATAAGTTTCTAAGTTAATCTATTCTCTGCTATACTTAATTAATAATGCATTAGTAAAAGTTACCTTAAATAAGTTTTTTTTTATTTAGAATAGTATGCTTTACTTATTTACTTAATCTTTATCTATTATAGTAAAGGTGCATCTACTGTCTATAAGGGCTAGCCTAGGCTGCCCTTTATATGTAAAGGTGGTTGTTAAGCTGTGTTCTGCCCCTTATCCTACTATAATTACTGCTAATATGTTATGTTTAACTTTTTTATTAAAAAAAAGATAAAAGTTAATGTTTTATAAGTTATTATTAAACTTATTTTTTTTTTTTTATAAATTTAATGTTTTTAATTATAGTAGTTAGCTGCTTTACATTTATAATCTTTAACTAAATAATGTAATATTAGGTAGTCTTTCTTTCTTACTGCCTTCTACTAAAAGTAGTAAAACCTGTAGTTGTCTTATTTTTTACACACTGCTTATCTCTTCTACTTATGTAGGGGAGCTGTTTAACAGGTGTAGCAGTTTATAGTTTTGTAGGCAGAGGCTATTCTTTACTATAAGTAACTGTTATAGTTCTTTTTTTATATAGGCTACTAGCCTGTTCTATGCTTATTGTCCTAATGCTTAAGGCAATACTATTATGTGCATTAGTACTAGGGGTATAGACAATTATTAGGTCTATGTAACATGTTAAGGGGACTCTTCTAAGTCTACTAGAGGTATTCCTGCGTTTGTACTATCTAAACAGGGTGTTCTTTTTATTAGTAATTATTAGTGCTATAAGTTTTATTTCTATAAAGTGCGCACTAACTATAGCTTTGTTGCATTACTAAGGCCTTTCTACTAATTATAAGGCTTAGAAGCAGTGTCTTAGGTTTCCTAAGTGCTAGCTTTAGAACTTTAAACTTAGCAGGTCTGCTTAGTTTTTCTAGTTTTTAATTTTAGATTTTTATAAAAAATTGCTATTATTTTTTTTTATTTATAATATTATATTTAACTTTAGCTATACATTATATAATGTTAAATATAAAGTAGTTATTGCTAATATTTATCTAGTAAAGCATAACTATATAATAACTTAAGTAGTTATATTATAAACTGCATTTTTAGCATTTATATTTCTAAAACTGTTAAAAAAGCTCTTTTACTAAAGTGCTAAGAGTTTAGTTTTAAAGAGGGAACTATTTTTCTTTTTTATAAACATTTATAATATATCCTTAAATTTAAGTCTTTTCTTTATATTTTTTAAGAATTATAAGGTCCTATAACACTATATTAAAGCTACTAAAATTCTAAATAACTACTTTCTAATACACTTTAAAGCAGTTGTTTAAAGAATAGTTACTTTTATATTACTAGTAAAGTTTGTTGTTTAATTTTTCTAATATTTCTTTATTTATAAGGCTATATTTAGCAGTAACAGCTTTTATTATTATAGTAGTATCTTTATTCTTCTCTTTTTAAAAGTTTAGGTAATTTTAGTAAAAATGTCTTACTTTTTTATAGTTTAGGCAGGCCTTGTTTTCTAGCTACTTTTATTATTTCTTTATTAAAGGTAGCCTATTATGTTCTAGAACTTAGCTCTTCTTAGAGGGGAAGCTTTATATATACTTTACATAACTAAGGTCTATTAGTTTTTTATTATATTATAAAAGCTTTTTTTTTTTAGGAATAAACTCTAGTTTTTAAAAAGTTTCTTTTTATTTTTTTTCTTTTTTACACTTTCTATAGTAGTTATTATAGGTTGTTGCTTATGTAATAAAAATTTTAAAAGTAGTTAGCTTTTTACTATATATAAACTTATCTTTTACTATTTTACTTAGTCTATTATAGAACATGCAGTAGAGAGCTTTCTAATTTATTTATTTATAAATAGCTAGTTGTTCTCTAAAGCGTGCTGCATAATTTTAAACTAAGTTATTTTCTTATTTTATAGTGTCTAGCTTATTAGCTATAATTTTTTTTTTATTTAAAGTTTTATAAATAGCTGTTAAGGCTTCTTTAAAGTTTTTAATACTACTAAATATTTCTTTAGTTTTAAAAGTAAGCGCTTTACTGCTTACTTTAAAGTTTATTTAGTTATTTATATAAAGTTAAAACTAAATTATAAAGGGGCCTTTTAGGTGTAGTCTTATTTAAGATATTATTTCTATATTAGTCTAAAATGCTTCTTTATTATATTATATATAAAGGTAACATTTTATAAAAAATAGTTAAAAGTCTTTTAATAATTCTTTAAAAAGCTTTAAAAGGGCTAGTTTTAAAGTTTTTTTAGCTGTAATACTTACTTTTTTTATTAAAATATTTTAGATCTTTACTAGCTTTACTTATAACTTATATATTTAATAGGCTTAGTTAGTAGCTTTTTAAAAGCTTAAAGGTTTTAGAAAGTTTTATAGTTTTATTATTTTTTATTAAAAGTTAGTAATTTTTTACTTAAGTTTTTTAAGCTTACTAACTTTATTACTAATTTACTAGAGTTTTTTAATATTATTCTAGATTAAGTTAATCTGTTTTGCTAAAATAGCCTTACTTTAAGTAGAAACTTTTATAGATCTTAATAGCACAGCATAGGCTATGTTAGAATCTAAGTTATATTATAAGGTAGCTATACTTTTTAAAAAGAGTAGTATTTAATGTTATAATTTTTACTTTAAGAAGCACTTAAGTCTTATAGTATTTCTATAGAGGGGGGGAAGTAGAACAGGAGGTAGGGGCTAACTAGTAGGGTGTACAGTCCTACATACAGGCTATTAGGCTAATAGAGGCTTATGTAGAATAACTAGATTGTAGTTTGCCTTATGTGCAGCAGTAGAGAGGCTAGGGTTAAACAGTCCTTATTAGACAAAGTTAGAGGTATATATAGTATAAGATATATAAATAGTATTACAGCTCTTTAAAAAGCTAAATGCTACTTAGTCTATGTAATAAATAAACTAAATATTAAACACACCTTCTAAAAGTTGTTTAATGTAGGAACTATATACATGTGCTAGGGCGCTAAGGGGAGCTAGCAGGAGTTTATAAGAGTTTGCTAAGGGGACTTTTACAGGCTCCCTTAAGCTCCCTTAGGCTCCCTAAATTCGCGGCCTGTCTTCCTATTAGACAACGCATTCTTCCGCGACGTTAGGCGGCCGCGCTGCCTCCGTGTCCTCCGACTGGTCTTTAAGCGAGCCCTGTCCCAATCCAGCTAGATTGTGGAGCACTGCTGGTGGAGTTACGCTGGTCCAACCATAGACCGTAACACTAGCTTACTATAAAGGACTATAATAGAGCTTTAGTGCCTCTAAATCTACTTTAATTAAATAAGAGTAATTACTACTAATAAGCTAAGTAACTTATACTTTAAAAACACTATTAAGTTTAGCTATTAAAAGCTTACTACTTACTAGAGTAAACTAATCCTTAATCTACTAGTTTTATACTACATAGTTGCTACTATCTTTAACTCTTAATTATGCTTACTTTAGTTTTAAGATTACTAGCAGCATTATAAAAGCTAGGTAGATAAAGTAACTAGGTTAATAAAAATAATCTTTAACTAGTATTTAAATGCTAAGAATAAGCATAAAGTTAAAAATAAGCTATTATCTCCTAGGCGTTGTAAGCTGCTAGGTGGCAACTATTATAATAATAATTATAAGGCTTGCCTCTTTATTAACCTCTCTTTTATAATAAATTAGCGCTTATATAAGTGTAAGAAGGTGTTAAATAAGCTGCAGCTTTACTATAACTTTATAAAAGCTAATTACTATAAAGATTACCCCTTACTACGTAAAGAACCCTTATAATAGTAGCTTACTAAAGATAAAATAGCTTATCTTATTTTTTTTAAGATTACCCTTAATTTTCTTACTATTCTAGCTACTAGTTGCAAGTGTAAGAGGTGTTTTAGCGCAGCTAGTTGTACAGTAACTAATAATTAAGGCTTACTAAAAAGTGTAATAATTAAGGCTATTTAACTCTAGAAGAACTAGCTACAGCATAAGGTAGTAAGCAGCAAGCTTTTAGACCTCTCTGCTCTTATTACTAGGAAGAATTAGTTATTTTATAGTTAATTAGACCTTAATCTTGTGTCTCTAAAGACTTATAATCTTAGCTGTTTTAACTAGAGTACAGCGTACTTTAATTAAATTGTACTACTTGTACAGATCACGTGAGCCGTAACAGTTACAATACGTACACCTACCTCTCCTCCTCCCTGTCGTACGAACGTACCCAAAATCTCACCCGTACAGGCCTCAAAATCGCCCAATCGTACAGTACTACGCCTCGTTGGAAGCCCTGAATTCAACCCTCCCCTCTCATAACAAGAGATATTAGATATGGTACATGATAATACGCCGAAATCCTTGAATCGTTCCTCCAAAAAGCTGGGGCATATATATCAGTAGACTCAGGCCAGTGGAGGAACATGATGAGGATGCGGAGGCTATAAACTCGGAAAGGTGGTTGGAGAGCACTGTAAGCCCGAGGGCTCTACAATGGGCACCCAATCAACCTTGGCCTTGTTTTTCATTCTACTACCCACCTAGATCACATAGCTTCTTGGACCCTTAGTCTAGAATACATCACATCTTTCATATCCCATGCCCCTACAATGCTACAATATTATTTTGTTGTGCCTGGTAGAAGGTTGACCTTTTTCCACTTGCAACAAGGAGCATAGTCAAAAGAGCATCGTTGCTGTGGGTACGGTGCGCATCAATTTCGGCAGGATTTTCAAGGCAGTGAAATATTCTTCGAGATTCTATATAAAAAAATTGTTCTAAACATCGAGCCGCCACCCCAGACACGGATCACAAAATACAAGCATAGGTAGGGATTGGAGAAAATTGCAGAAACAAGAGTCAAAGTGAAAGCAACAAGAATTGCATCATCTCCGGTTGATCTACTAAGGAACTCACTTCAGAAGCACCACGGCAATGATAAGTCACGGTCGTTCGAACAATAATATTGAATGAAAAGCGATGTGGAGAGCAAACAGACTTTACAACAATGGGCAGCTAAGGGGGAAGCGCCGGATCACACTCCTCACCATATCATGTTACTAGGCATAAGTCTCCATAGAATCAGGCAGAAGGTGGAAGACCTCCATTGATCTCGATTTAGCGGCACGATCACGTGCCCCCAAAACCCCACACCTATATAAAGCTCCCCTCCCTACTCTCAACGAATTCTTCATCTCTCCAACTTTCCAACCTGACGTTCGATAGCAGGCTGGTCTGTTAATTCGGCTTCGGTCGATGCTTTTTTTTTTTCACCCGTCCTCCACTCACTGAGCTTGCTCAAAGTTGCGGACACAGTGACGCTGGCCCCAGGTAAGTCTAGTTATCCATGGTGTAACAAATTCAGCTAACATGCAATCAGCACTACCGCCGGCTGTCGCGAATTTCTACTTTTTCATTGATCTAGTTGGCTTGTCTGACTGGTTAAGGAAGAAGTCATTTTGCATCTTGTATAGCACTGCATCACACTTCATTAATGCACTGTTTCATATCATGCCCCTCCCTTCATGATGTGTTTACACAATTCTGAGAAACGGGGTTTGGGAATGATTTGTGATTCCTTTGCGCGATGTCCTGTTAGAGATGAGAAGTTGAGAGCCCACGAACAGCATTCAACGGTGAGCATAACAAGCCTCTTTTGCCGGAACTTGCTAGTTTCCATCCACTCTAAGCTATCTTGTGCTGTCCGTATCAATATCAGTAGTTATATATGTGGTAATTTCACAAGCCCTCACCCGAAGTTGTTGCTGTAAACACATCCGCACCAAGTCGCGCCGCCAAGAGCGTGTTCAAGCAACAAGTTCACCAATGATTTCACCCACCACAGAAGTGAATGTTGATACCATCTGTGCAGCTGCCCACAGCCAATTCCTAACATCAGATTCCTTTACTCTATGTTCTGAAGGACTGAAAGACCTCTCAAGCCATCATCCGTTTCGCCTCATGAGCATTCTCCCTCCCGTAATGCCTGTCTTTCTCAATCGAGTTTGACACCCCCACGAAGCATATTTTGGTATTAGGAGCATATCTCAAGTTGGAAAATTCATAGCGGGAGAGACGCACTGGCTGAGTGTGATCGCAGCTATGGAGCCCCCTGAGCTTCATCACCAACTACTAGTTTTCATGCGACGTCTTATACTGTAAGAATCACACTATATTCCGCCCATTATAGATTCGCGCCTTGACACCCTTCATATCTCAGGTCTATTTTTGCATTCACGAGTAGAATTTTGGCACTCTATCGCTCTATCATATTCCGAATGCTAGATAGAGATACAGATTTCACTCGTTTAACAATCAACTCGGTTCTGGAAGCCATAGGAGTTCCGCAAATCTTCACAGAAATTCCGGAAAGAGATGGAGACGTCCCACGTACGCGGCATCCTAAGCACGCAATCATTGGGGAGATCATGTCCAGCGCCACCTAGAGTTGCCTGCCTTTAGTCCGCACACCACAGAGATCTGCGAACACCAAGTCCCCAGAGTGACCCGTGGGCCGTGAACTCTCCACGGAGCGGTCGTCACCATATTATTCTGCCATGGGTGAACAGGGGATGGACGAATCATAAACTACAAACACGAGTCGTGGTCGGTATTGTCATCTTTGAGTCTTGAACATTTGCGAAACCCCTACTACGTATAGTGAGTTCTCCTCAGCCCACAAACCTGATCTACCAGGCACTGGTGTTCTCCGGAAAGCTATAGTATTAAGCTAATGAGGATGAACAGGGACAGGACGGTACATAGGATTACGGCATATTCTTCTGGGACAAATGAAAGGCCTTATTCTGTGAAACTTTACGCAGTCAGCACCAGCAACGCCTGATAGCTTCCTCGAGCCCTCAACGGTCGACTCTAGAGAGATGAATCGAAGACTCGTAGGTAAAGGTCCTCAGTCTTGAGAGATTTCTTCGAAGATCTTGGAATTCGTCATAGCTAATACAACTGGCTAGTGCGCTCAATCTACGTCAGCCTCCAAAGCTAGCTCTCGACACAATCCGCGATAACGAAGACTCGCCCAGACTCTACTACGAGAAAATGAACATACACAGATGGCTTGCGCGTTCCTTGAGAACAAGGCTCGGGTTCACAGGTCTTTTTGGAAATTTTCCAGACGGCTTCTCGTTGAATAATAGGTCCGTGTGGTTTATGTTGCAGGCTGCAGAAGTCCAACCTACCAAGCACAGCTGAAGAATATATAGGCGGATAGATGGACATGCAACAGACTCAACATGGTGATTCATACTGAAGGAAGGGCGCCTGGGTGTCACCAAGACTTCAATAAGACTGCAGCTCTAGAAAGCAAAGCGTATGACTTAACAGGAAGAGTGATATATCTAGAAGTAGAGCAAGCTTATGCAAGAGACATGTGGGATATCTATTACTTCAATTTCGTGACTGAAAGATGGTTAAGGCCTTCTTACGGTGTCGAATGCACGCCAGTCCAATTGCGACCAAGCATTGTTGCATAAGCAGCTGGTGTATACGAAATGAGAAGGAGAGAGACATTAAAGAGGTTGGCGGGTGTACAGAAGATAGTAAGGCAAATGCGCTTTTTCACTCCTGCAGACACCGCACGCTAGGCAGGTCCCAGCAAAACCTCACACATCACATATCACTACCACAAAGATTGTCACATTGCATCGCACAGCCATCAAGCATCCTACTTTATTCCTTTACCACACCGACTTCATATGCCAGACTGACCATCGCCAAAATTCTCAGATTCACAACCTCCACAAGCGAGCGACCAGAACCTCTCACAGCGTTGCAATGATGTCCGAAGGCGTAGGCAGCTAAAGCATGAGAAGATCTTCTAAGGCGTTGATCCCAAAACCTCTGATGAGATAGGATCTAAGATCTGGTTACCGGTGCCCGTTAGCTGAAGAATATGATGCTTCATAATATGATGAGTGGAATTTGATGTGCAGGTGAGTGGGAATTGTTGGGTTGTTTGGTGTAGATGAAAATCCGCACATGGCCTTTGCATACTTGCTCAGCCTTGTCAACTGCACCCAAGGTCTTTCTAAATCATATCCCCCAAACGCACACTGCAGCTCCCAGCGAACGCTATCAGTCTTTCACAATATCAAGCGAACTCCCTCCTCCCCCTTGTAGATCCAGCGCCCCACGCTGAAGAGCTAATCCTCTCCGTATAATTCGTTAGGGGAGAGCTGCTCAAGGTGAGGGGAATCTCATGCGTGCACGTTGAAGGCACAGGACAAGCCGTACAAAGGGAAGGAGATCCAGAGTAGGTTGTAGAGTGGCGTGCGTAAAAGATCCTGAGGAATATCGTCACGGTTGAAAGGTTAGACAAATTAAAGTCCTATAGTCGGGAGGCTCCTCAATTGCATGCCGCGCGGTTGCCGTGCAGGCCCATTAGCCAAAAAAAAAAAACCGTAGAGTGACGTATCGCAACAAGGGACCGCCGCAACAAGTCTTCCTTCACCACATGCCCTCGAAAATGGCCCGTGACGACTTCCACGTGTGTTCTGCGCCATTTAGTTTACTAAAATCGCCAAAAAGGTGGTCTCTAATTTGCAACTAGATGCGCATATATAAGTTATTATTTTTAAATATTCTTCGTCCAGTAGGGTACCTGCTCCCTACTGGACACTCACCACTTCGCACCGTCTCGTCACCGCAGATTTGCATGGACACCAGTTACTAACACGTGACCTCAGTTCGATTCTGACTGCATTCCTTTTTGCATTTTTTAGGAAATTTGTGTGGATGAGCCCCAGAGACGACGAAGCAGGCGAACAGAGCCCAAAAAAGTTTTTTGATGGAAAGGACAAACGTGATACACGATGGTAGTATTAATGTGGAAAATCCAGCTTCAGATGGTTAAGTCGGATGCTGGGGGCAAATGTGATGCCGGTATGGGAAAGTGACAACGTATTAAATCTTAACATATTAGGAGTCTGCAGGAGTCAATAAATCAGTTAATTTAGTCAATGATACCAAGAAAAAGAGATCCACCACGCAGTAAACTAACATATAGGGAATTAGGCTAGACGCGCTATTGGCTGGGGTAGAGCATGGAATGATTCCAATTGGCTGGAAGAGAAATGGAAAGTGCCTCAGCTATATACTAGCGAGACAATAAAGAAGAATGGTATTGAGTTGAGTAAGAATGGTTGAACTGAAAATTAAAAGCCCGGAGATGGCGCTACTTCGAGGGTGGAGAGGCCTGCTGAGGAAGGAGTTCCCGTGCTGATATCATCAGCACCTGCCACCAATCCCAAATGAAGAAACCAGGCCAGAACTACTACGACTGGCGCGAAATAACAGAGATAATCGAAATATGCTAGAAAGGATGAAGAAGATATGAACAAGGCAGTGGTACTACCGAAATGTAACAAGAGAATTAGCTAGTGAAGAAGTAAATGAAAAAAAAAAATACGAAAACGGCAGAATACTGGAATGAAAGAGTACACAAAGGTTGAGCTAATTGAGAACTGTTAGTACAGTGGGAGTAAATTCGAATTGCTGGACAGAATCTGTCAAGTTTGGCAAGGACTTAGGAGATGATGAGCGAGCGAAACGACGGCGAGTACTATACGGGCCCGATCTAGGGTAGATAATGAAGGGTCCTAAATTGGAGAGTTAGGAAGGGGTGAGACGTAGACGAGAAGCTAGTATAATAAGCCCAGAGTACCATTTAGGGGGACCACCATCAAAAAAAGAAGAAGAGGGATGCAGGCAATAGCACAACAACTTAATGAGAGCAGAGAAGACTCTAATTAGAAGTATTAGAATGAAAGAGTCCTACAGAGTTGTAAGACAGCAAAGGGAAACTGACAATACCAGGGACTGAGATAGAGAGTTTTCGAGCTTGAGGGCGATGGAAAAAGAAGACAGGGTGAGCAGTGATGGGAATACTGTACAGAAAAAGAAAATGGCACATAAAACTTCTTCAGAGCCGTGGAAGTGGAGAGACAAAAATAGAATGGGATCACATGGATGGGATAAGATGGAGCTTGATATGGAAGAAGATTGAAGGGGTTATGATGCTGAAAAAAGGAATTGGAGAAAGTTGAGAGTATTTAAGATAGAAAAGCTTGCCTGATAGTTACCGTATTCAGAGAAATGGAAGGATAGAGCAGACATGAGATACGGGAGGAAGAGATAAAAAGAGACAGAATATATGATTGCGACGCGAAAGACAGATATAGGTGGCGTTGGCGGTGTAAAAACTGGTAGAGAAGGGGCAGAGTACGAAAGCTAGAAACTGATAGCACGCCGTAGCTTTGCGTTGCAGGTGAGAAAGAGCGGAAATTGGACTGAAAGTAATTTATAGCCACTCTTAACTCATCGTAACTTAGAATCAAAAACGACTCATCAACAAATGCTTCAAAGGTCATAAATATGTTAGCGTTAATATGAAGATTTCATAAAATAGTAGTTGATAAAGGGGATTTGTGGATATAGATGGCAGCTTTCCGGCTAATAGTTGAACTGAGTGCATAATAGAGACAAAGATATCAAGTCGAACGATGAGAAGAAAGTCTGAAAATGGAAAGGAGGTTTTAGAAATGTACATTAATTCAACACGGACAAAAAAGCAGGGAAGACTTGAAAGATCTCACTAGAGCGTCGTGTTGGCAATTGAAATAAGACGTAGGATGTGGCAGGAGATTGAGAGACGGGCGAAGGGGGAAATTTGGAAATAAAACATTCCGCTGAGCCGTCAAAACTGAAATGAGAGGGACGAAAACAGCCGCACAACCAAAAATTAAGAAGCCGAGAGGTGGGTGAGAGACAGCATGGGGGAAAGTCAATGATCAAGTGTGATGAGAAAAGTCTGGAAAAGAGAAGGATGGCGCATTAGAACATCGTGAAGACTGGCTGGAGGGAAAATATGAACTGTTTGAGATGGTTGGAATGATAAATAGCGCTGAGAATGGGTAAAGTGTGGGCTTACATGTGACTTTGGACCATTTCAGGAGAAACCGAAAACACGAAAAGGGGTTTGCAACGAGTAGAAGAGTGATTGGAAACGGGACGATATGAGAATGTCAAGGCGAACGATGAACGAAGGACGGCCAGGGGTAAGACATATGTGAACTTACGAAAGCAACTAAATGGCGAGGAACAATGACAACATCCAGGAGGAATGCGATTTCAATTAGCACACAAGAGCTTGAAAAAGTTCCAAACCAAGAGGAAAGGAGAATTGCGCGAAGTTAGGAAAATAGAAAAATGAGATAAGGAGAAAAATATGAGCTAAGGTGGATATGCGCGAAGGAGAGATAACGGTTCTAGGCATGCAAGAGCAAGACTTGAAAACTGGACGGGCGGGGAAACGTTTGGGTTGAGGGCTGTGATGAAGAATCTAAGACTAGAGTACGTCTCTTGCATTTTGCTACACCCCTGAATAGAGACACACCCGAGAGAGTCGACGAGGAGTTGGGCAATGTATAAGTGAGTTCAATCGACACAAGAAGGGCCACATTTGGTTCTTGGATAAAGAACCTAAGGCATTTGGAGATTGATAGTATTGAGTTCAGAAAAGGGGAAGTTTTAACGCAGGACTTAAGAGTAAGCGGTAGAGTCTAAGCAAGTGGGTAGAAAATATATCGGCGATGTTTAGTAACGTAGAATATGAGATGGTGGGGAGAGTCCTTAAGGGGTATGGAATCCAGGGCACCCCAAACATAGCCATCGAACTTCAAGATTTCGATTGAAGCACAATATAAATAAAGTGCAGGGGCATATATTGGTCGCAGGTGGGCACCGCATTCTTCGATAATTTTCGGTTCGGTCCGAGGCTGGCATGATTCAAAAGGGGCTGATACGAAGGGTCCAGGTCGTTATGCGTTCTACGTTTGTTACAAAACGTTGAGATGCCTGGCAGCAACATAGCCGATGCCGGCCTACTGAATCTCCCGATCATAGAGTAACTCAAAACGAGGCCAGAGCATAGTGTAAGAATAAATAGAGCGTAGAACGCTTGATCAGGTCACGGTGGTGCCTTGTTGTGTCTGTAGCCGAAGCGGAGCTACGAAGAAGGGATGCTTGTTGAGAGGGTCACTTTAGTGTTCGCAAGGATGGATTGACAGTTGACACTAATCAAATAATGGCACGGTGTAGGACAGTAGATCCAGACGATTGGATGTATGTCATAGACCGTGGAGATGAATGTATAGAAATGCTGGTCCTGAGGATTTCGACATGTTTCTATTCATGCAGGGAAAGTTCCTGGCCTGTAACTGAAGTACGATCTTCTTCGCAGATGCAAATTTTCCTCGGCCGAAGATGGGTCCGCCTACAACGCATGCTGGGACAAGGGGCATAGTGCTTTACGCACGGGGCTTCTGACCGCAGATTCTGGAGTTGCGCTCGAGCGGTGCAAAGTAAAGGTGGCCCGTGCGAGGATTGGTGATGCTTCTTGTGGTGTTGGGTTTGTTCCTTCTCTTCAACCAATTCTTCTCGACTCAGCACCAGCACCTAGCCAGCACCAGAATCGTCAGAGTGATCAAGGATAACTATGTGGGCTGTTGTAGAGGGTTATACCAGCCACCGGAGACACTACAGGTATGTCACTATGCCCTCACTGACGCCGATGGCGATCGTTTGCTTTCGCAGGGTGAGGGTCTCTCGTCGCAGCATCTCCGTCTGGGTCGCACACGAGGTCTACAGGGGTTCGGAACAACAGGAGCTGCTGCAAGTGATAGCAGAGATATCCTATGACTGACTGATGAGCTTGCTGTCGCTGAGGGTAGCCCGGTAGCTTTTTGTTCTTGAGGCCTTTCAGGATGGCTTATATGCTGACAAAACCCTCTCCACAAGGTTTCAACTAATCCCCAACCCCTTCTAGACGTACGGGAAGTTACAGCAAGTAGCCGGAGGTCCTGAAACGACCGTTTGGCGTGGCGGAAGAAGTTGTTTATCAAGAGGGCCAGCAGCTACTCATCTGAACTTCATTTTGCCGCGAAGACATTGCACTTGCGACTTCTCCAAACCAGCCCCGGCAAGTAAAGCATCACAAAAACTGATGATACTTTTGCTGACGATTAGTTAAACTTGCGTCAGCTGCATGAGATTTTCGCTGCATATCCTTCATGACGACTTCAAGAAATTCGCCGACAGGCGTGCGATAACTGTTCCAGACTACGACCACAAGGCGGGTACGCCCTTTCAGACTCACACCCACGCTGGAAGACATATTTCTGACAGCAAAATAGCCGCGTATCAGAGTTGCCAAGGAGAAATCTTGGCAGGAGGCAGCTGCGACTGCCGTCCTTGTTGTCATACCCTGCTTTTGCAATACCAAGACGCGAATGTATTCGGAAAGAGGGTGCCGGCATACTCCCGTAAGCAGCAAACGGTTATGTTGAAGAACGTCTTGGCTGACTTGTCATGCAAGTATCCGCAACACTTGGGACAAACTAGTGACATCGATGGCCGGCGACCACAGAATTACGGACTTCCTACAACAAGAGGCAAACCTGAAGGGTGAGTGATAGATGACTATTTGCCAACAAAGATTCGTCTGTTGGCAGTGTCGGTCACACACTATATCGACGCCCATGGCAGAATCTGTGTAAGGACGTTCTCAGTCTCTCACAAAATTAGACCAGAAAATCCAGCGTCCAGCTCATCGTGCCGCAGGCATACCTGCGAGCCAAGTAAGAGACAGGAAAGGTTTCTGCGACCAGATTTCGGAACTAAAGCGGTAGAGGGGAGCTGCGGACCTCAATCCCGCTCAAGACGCAGATCGTGATCAAAAAGAATAGAATTTGGATCGTATTAACCGGAGCGGCGAAAGAGATGTGGCCAAGTGAGGAAAATTGGATTGTCGAAGGAAATATGCTCACCCCCAATTGCTAGTCACCCTCACTCTTTCCTTGTTCCCCGCAAGCAATAGCCAATCGTCAAAAGCTAGTTCAGCTGCCGGCGCGCTCGATACTCCTTGGGCAATGAAAAAGCATCAACGGTCTCAAATTCAGTCCCATATCTCCGCCATAACTTGGGCGAGCGTCTGGAGATGAGAAGTAACAGGGCCGCCCGCGCTGTGGTCTCTACCGTCAATACATAAGGTCTTAGGACAGAACTGCCGCCGCCATATCCCTCTCCCAGCATGTTTAGCCCGAGGGGGACATCTGTATTAAGTTCGACAAGATCAAGGATGTTCGAGGTGGCATATCAATTGAACCGGCGGAACTCTGGGCTCGCTCTCGGGCTCAGACTCCGAGACTAGATGGCCAGTCGCCAGTTGCAGCGACCTGCAGCGAATCTCCCACGGTTGCTTGCAGACATGTAGCTGGGTAGCACATACTGGTAGATTCTCCGAAGCATTCGCCGAAGTATTTGCCGAGTGGCGTCTGATCGTTTTCTGGATCGATATCGAGCCATGAAGAACTCAGGATTACGAATGATGAGATTTGCCGCAACGGAATTGAAACCACCATCCACATGATGCGTTTGCTCGATAAATCTGCCATGCGCTTGGCAATGACCTGTTATATCGTTGCCCCAGTGCTTGTCGGCTCTTTGAATTTTATTCAACACAAGTGGAACCCTTGCCCACGCAATCTACTTAGTTCGAGACGTCTTGGAGCGTCGTTCAAGGCTGGCTGCCCGAGCTTGATTCAATTCAACTGGAAGTCTAGTTGAAATGACCAACAAAGTGCAGAAAAAGACCACACTAAACTGGATGGTTATCATTGTATTTCTCCATGCGACAACAGCATGAAGACACTCAGACTTCTTCAAGTGGTTCTATTCGGGGTTCCGGATCCCGACACATATCGATATGGTCAGCAACAGTTGACGGATAATGAGGATATCGTGGCGTCTTGCTATCGCTTGTAGCTATACCCTATGCGCAGCAGGGTGTGATTACCACCGCCCCGATTCTGGCAGATGGTAATGGATTGCATCCTCGCAAATGGGCTGCACCGGTGTATTCGCTTCAAACGCACAGCTAGTTACAGGACCTCAGCTGGCTAACGGATTTCGCAATTGGACATTTAATAACAAAGCTGGGGGAATAGGACATGCTCAACAACGACTGATCGGCCCAATGAACCTCGAGAAGCATTTTATACTCAAGTGTCACCCGCTCGGTGCGACCCTTTGAAGTACCCACCCAATGAAGGATTCGGGCGCCTCTCCGATCAAAGTGACCGCTTAGGAAGCTCATGGTGTCTGAATTTCGGCACCTCTACCTGACTTTGACATTAAAGCCTTGTTCGCTCTCCTGGCCCACGTCCCAGGGTGTATCACTTGGAAAGCTGGTGGAGGATTCAAAACCCAAGTCTTTTTAACTTAATAGTCGCCGCCCGCGGCAGTCAATCTTCGTCATCCTCGAGGTAATGGAGTTATTCGAGCAGCCCTTCGAAGACTACCAGGGCGCCAAATATCACGCCTAGACTCTCATTATGCGACCCAAATAGATCGAAGGCGATAGCTACCCACCGGTGCTGGCAACGCCATCCCCATGCTTTGTGGGTCCTCGCCAGGAAATACTTGACATTCCACAAGGAACAGGGCAGGTGGACATACCATGACCACCAGATAATCTCTGGTTTAGAATAAAAGAACAAAAGAGCCCAGAAGACAGCTCAGGGGGGTTAAGGACATTTCGCAGAGGCTCCACGCCTGTAACCCTTCGTCGTGTTCCAGGTGGCCAAGGTGTGGTTCACCAAATTACTTGGTTCTCGTTCGACGACACCCAATAGCCCTGCAAGGCAACGCCCGGGAAACTCAATTCGTAAGTCGGATATCTGAGCAGAGTGGTAGTTGTCGCTACGATTGAGATGACTAAGGCTTAGATGGACTTGATCGCAATGCGTTTCTCGACGACTGATACTCCAGCAACCGTGGCGGTGACTGTTGGGCGAATGAAGGGGTGTAAGCAAACGCACCCGGGCTTCCCTCCTTCGCCTCCCCTCCTTCACTACCACGATTCGCTGGAGAGAAAAGTAGCGTGCGATTAACCATGAGAGATTTGCCAAATATGTCGACAAGTCACCAGAGAATGGAGGACCGAAACCAATGACCCCGAGGAAACTGTGGTGCTTCCCCCTTTTGTCAAATCCAATTGCTCGTAGTTGCAGGATATCCTTAGCAGTGTCCATGGATAAGAGGTGGCAGATACGTCGGGTAACATCATATTCTGGGGTATTTTCCGTACGGGCGAGAATCCGGACATTGTATCCACGCCATTATGCCGGGCCATACATGGGCTAATCTGCGAACAATGTTCCTGTTGTGCAGACGACGGATTCGCCTGTGTGCGAAGTCGATGATTGAGAGTGAAACTTGCAGGAGCTTGTTACCGTTATATAATCTTGCAGTCAAACACGCCCGAGATTGTCCTAGGCCACGAGAAATAGGTTAGAGTCGTTGGATTGGGTGCCTTGAGAAGTCCGCACGACCGTTGCGGATTGAAGTTGTTACCGCTGCAACCGCTCAGCACCTCACTGCTTTATCCGTCGAAGTGAGCGAGGGTATAGGCGGACAAGGTATTCAAGCTGTACACATTTCCTGAGGTTGGAAGTACTTCTCTTCGTAACGGTAATCAAATTAGACATAAGATGGACCAAGACGTCGGAGCCTAGTATCTACGAACTCCAGCTCAATTGGAGGTTCCTGAGGCTGAGCTGAAGGTCCCAAGGGTGTGATTCCACCTTAAATTGGAGAAGAACAAGTCCTAACGTTCGGGAACATTTCTACGAATCCGGAAAGTCTTCGGTCAGGACGAAATGTTAACAAGTTTAGGCCGTAGACTGTCCTTCTATCCAGACTACACAAGGAAAAGGTCATGGAGGTCAGGTAGAAGGAAATCGCGATCAATCCAAAGACCAAAGAGAAGAAAAGGGTGTCAACTATCCGAACGTTAAGCCAATGGATGATGGCGTGATTAGATTTGCACACTCAAGATCGAAGACACTAACATTGGCGAGAGGGGGGGGTCTGCCGTTTTAGTTTCTGCTGCGGTCTGACTGGCGAAAGTATTGAGTTGATTTGGTATATCCTAGGACTCGGACAAGGCCTCAAACTCCAACGAAGAAAGAGATCCTCGTTCCGTTGAAGCTTTGGTAGTGAAAACTGATCGGAAGATATCGGGGGGAATTCGGCGAGGCCATTCTCGTCCCAAACGCGAACGAGGCAGGGGGGAAGAAGTCTTCTCGACTCGGCTGCAGAACTGAATATCTTTGCTGTGCTAACACCCTGGTAATGCTGTGATGAATGGCACATCTCAGTCCGTTTATCAATAAATGCTCGGAGAATATTCTGAATCTCATGATCGGCGAGCTTGCTTGGACCTCGAAATACCACCGAATGGCCATTTCCCTCCAATTTGCCGACCAACAGCACAACTGAATGGCCAATCGATTCTCTGGCGCTGCGGAAGGTAGTTGTGTCTTTGCTAATGCCAAATGGCATGGTGGGAAGACCACCACGACCCGCGTACCGTTAATTCCGTTTGCCATATGGCGGCCCTAAGGAGGGTAAAGAGAGTAGTGGATGTCTACCAAAGGAAATGTCACAGTCAGCCTCGACGTCTTCTTTTCTTTGAGCAAGAGCTTCCATGCTTCACCAAAACACACTACTGCCCGGCCACCAATAGAAACCTCGCTTTCCAGCTACAACAGCAGCAGAAAGGCCACCTGACATTTTCTTAGTAGCCAGCTGCAGCAACAGTCGTATGAATGCCACTTCAAGCACTCGTGACTTCCACCCCACTTGATTTATTCGTTGGTAGGCCCAAGTCTACCGGCTCCGAGATCAGGGTCATCGACACCATTGGCGTCCACTACTCAGCCACGCTTTGGCGACTACCGGAACTGGCTGTCCAAAAAAAACTATGATGTTACGAAATATGGTAGCAATTTGTTGGAACCTACCAGACATCGCGTCCTTGTCACTATCGAGTGTACCATTCTCGATCAAGTGGGCGTACAGGCTGAAACTGATGGCGAGGATGCCCGTTTGCTATCGATTTCAATTGCTACGATGGTATGGTTTCGTCGATGAGAGCAAGCCCATAACGAGCGTTCGATGCACCCTTCGCTAAGACCCTTGACGATTTATCCAGCGAATGTTTGTTGCGAGTCGGGATCAGGACCAGGCACGATGGCCAACGATGAAGGTGTCGAGAGGAATATGCTGGTTTACCGAAATGCGCTCCAACGAAGTGGTCGTGTTGCATTTTTACTTGTCCAACCCAGAACAACGATGTATGCAGCGCCTGCACTTGAGGAAGATAATGATGGCGTGGTAGGAAGACAAGATAAGAAGCGACAGAAAGGAAGTGAGCACGCTCTAAGAGGTGGATGACAGTGGGATGTGAAGACAAATCTCGTGACCTAGATATATGGTGTTCGGAGAGGACAGGTGTTGAAACCGAAGAGTTGTCATGATCGAAGCCGATAACGGCAGGAATGTCGGAGTCGAGCAGCAGCTTAGGTTAATGAGCCCGTGCGAATGGCAGAAGATGTTGTCGACGTTGATTTCTTGTTCATCAGCGTCGAGCCCAGGACCAGCCATCAATATCGATAATGTGGCTGCCGTTGAAGCTTTGGACATGGCAGTCATGATCGTAGAGAAGACCTCAAGGCCAAGGATTGGACGCCGTGGGCACGTGCGCGCATCCCAGGCGCCGTTGAGGGAGACCTATCAAAAGTTGCTGTCGGTATTTGTTATGGCGAAGACAAGCCATTAGATCTACCTAGCCGTCTAGGTTCCGTTCTTAAACCGACAGGCTCGCAGGTCTTTGAAGTCAAGGATGGCGATGACTCGGCGCTAAGGGGTTGTCGATATTGAGAGAACAAGGAAGAGCAGAAGCGTCCTGCTCGTTCTCGCATGCCGATGCGACTGCCACCAGATCCTGCTGGGGTAGCGGAATGCGGTTGTAGAGTTCACAGTGGCCGAGGGACTAGGTGAGAAAGCAAGTTGGTTCGAAGCTACAGGTCACATTCGAGGAGCCGGCAGTCGCACAAAAGCGGCTGTAGAAGGTCTTTTCATGCGTGGAGCAGTCAAGCAAGGCGAAATCTTGTCGTGCTGCGAGTTGTTGAAGGCTTTGAGGCTGGGGAGGAAGGGAAATGGCGGCTAAGCTGTGCAGGAGAACAGGGAAGACCCACGATATCGGCGATGATAATGCCCTTGAAATCTATCAAGGAGAGGACGCCGCAATACTTGCTATGCATCGTGAAGCAAGCGAGAGACGTGGGATGCTATTTCCGAGCCAAATCGCGGGTGTAGAGGGGCGAGAGCGGGTGGGTGAGTAAGTGTGACCAGAAGGGCAACGCACATTCGACGAAGGTGAGGTCGCCGAACCGTATCAGAAATGGTCTCGAGGACCATCCCCTGGTGCTTCTGAAGCTGTCGAGGGGGAGTATGAGCTTACTCCGATAGTATTACGATGGCGTGGGCGTGTTGAGGGTGTGGGCGGGAGACTGCAGGAAACCCGTGACCTCGAGGTCCGGGACCCCTGAGAAGGCAAGCGAGAACATCAGGTCAGTGAAAAATACAATAAAACATAAAACCCCCACCCCCTCTATTTTAAAGGAATGAATACGGGGACGGGAGGGGGGAAGAGAGAGCTGTACGACAAAGAAGGGCCAGTCGAAGCCCACGACATGAGGGTTTGGGGACGCTGCTGGTGGGCGAGTGAGAGGGGTTGAATGTTGGATGGAGTTGTTAGTGTTGAGGGCGGCTCGACCAGGGCCTGCGCTTCCTTCCAGCCAGCAAATGCGGAGCAACCATATCACCACCTTCTGCTCCGCAACGGCCAACCAACGCGTCACACCCCGATCTTTCCCCTCACTTTGGCATCCAGACGAGTTTCCACATGGTGCAGCGACAGCAATGGCGGCGACCTTCGACCTTGTTCTCCTCTCGTCGCCGCCCCTTGTAAGCGGCGGCTTAGCGGCGACCAATATGACCCCTCCAAAACACCAGCGACGCGCCAAGATGGCAGCATACTCGCCCACAGCACTCTCTCCGCTGGGGAGTCCAAAGAAAGTGTCAGTTGGCGCGTTAAAATCGGGCCCTGGCACTACTACAGTCCCTGGCGGGGCTGCAAAGGGGTTTGCCACAGCTGCCAGTCTTGTCAAGTCGCACCACTTCAACCTCCAGCCAGACGACGAATTCACCGAAGCTCGACGTGCATATTCAAGGCGGAACTCGCTACAGGTTTTAGAGAAGGTAGATTCCTCTCCCCAAAAGCAGGCGAAGCAATCTACAACGACTACGGCGGCGGGAGATGGTGCTAAACCCAAGCCCAAGAAACCGAGGGCGCGGAAAACCCAGGCGGGCAAGGACGGGAGCACGCACAACGCAAGAACCCGGGATGCACTCACAACGTCAGCATATTTCGCGGATCCCCCCCCTACAAGCCACCTCGAGTCCCTACCGAGCCATCTCCAGCCTCTTGCGCCGAAAGCCAAGACCACCAAATCGAGAAAGCCGCGAGCGAAGTCGGAGAAATTGGGAGACGACGAGACGCTGGCAAAACCGAAGAAACCGCGAGCTAAGAAGACTCGTAAAGTCGGGGCGTCGAGCGAGAAGCTGCCGCACTGCGATACTGGCACAGAATCTCGTTCACCGATTGCTCATCCTGAAGACAGTTCGATTTGGGATGTTCCCTCCACCCCTCGATCTAGTAAAGCAGCAACACAGAAGCAGAGACCTCCCAATGTTGAGAATCCAGGGCTTGATCTCGAGGAGGCAATTCGACGGAGGCGAGATTGGACGCCTGCGGAGGATACGGGCGCTCCACAGGATTTCACAGACATAGCTATGAAAGAAAACAACCCCCTGATCATGAATACCAGAACGGATCATTTCACCGACCTGCTGTCAAGCTTTACCTACGCGCACACAGAGCTACAGCCTGCAACGAAATCGAAACCACTGCCATCCGAAGTTCTAAAAGCTACCAAAAAGAGGAGAGTTGAGGTAAGCAGACAGGGTTACTCTTACCCCAGGCCCGTGACTAATTACGTTCAAAGCTTGTCGATGTGCCCGCAAACCAATCCAGCTCACGCCTAACGTCTCCAGAGAAGGGCAAGGCACCCAAAAAGAAACCGAGGACAATCACAGACCTCGTCATTGGTCAATACGCCCAAAAAGAGCCAACTGCAGGTCCCGCCGTCACCAGCGAATTCTTCGAGCCTCGCGCAACAACGAAGAAAATCCCTCTTAACGATACTCTCGCACGCCATTCCTCAGCAAACCCGGCCCGCAAACGATCCTCTTCGAAGTCTGCATCCGAGAAGGGAGAGTCGAGGTCGAAAAAAGTGTCCGCCAAGACCGCCGCCAAACCTAAAATAGTAGCCGACAAGCTCCTCAGCCCCACCTCTGCTGTCTTGCGGGTGAACAAACAAGACATTCTCTTCGGCACATCGAGTCAATTGGCAAGACAAGAGTCGCCCAGCTTCATTCGAGAGATTCAACAAGCCATTCGAGAGTCAGAGCAACATGTCGATATTTTGCCGGGTGTCGCTCTGGGCAACAAGTCCAGTACTTTGTCGCTTGGACCAAGATTAGGCAAGATTCAAGGGAGACAGGGTTTATGGGCTGCCAGCGCGCGAGATGAAGAGGGCCAGCTTCTCGAGAGGCAGAACGACGTCTACATTCTCGAACCAGATCACAGACAAGCCCTCCCTTTACCGATGGATAACACAGTCGATGATCCAGACACTTCCTTTGCCGACATTGACAACTTCAAGCCTCCTCCAGCAGCAACCGCCATCTCGTCTGACTTACCAACTCCTCCGTCTGACTCGAACCCTCGCGAGAAGATAAAGGATTCCCTCGAGGAAGATACGCATGACCTATTGTTCCACGATATCGATAAGTACACAATGGAGGCACCACCATCTAATCAGCAGACCAACTCCAGTTTCCTCGACATCGACGACTTCCTACCTTCTACACAATCTATTCCTCCTCTACGCTCCCCTGGGCCGTTACCTACTCCCGCCACCTCAACTGGCTCACCAAAGAAACGGCGAGGCCGTCCTCCTAAGTCACAATCCGCACCACCACAGCAGCGACCAACCCCACCTAAGAAATCTCCATCAAAAAAATGGAAGTCAGCAACACACCCACCAGACACACCCCCAAGAGTTACGAAAAGATTTGCCAACATCGAAGAAATCAAGGACTCAGAAGACGACGAAGCGCTCTCTCCCACCCCACCCCGAGTCCGCAAACTAGTCAACTCGCCTCCCCTCGAACTCCAACCCTCTCAATCTAAGCTTAACACGACTATATCACCCGTCCCTGTCTTCAAAGCCCCACGCTTGCTATTAAAGTGGGATCATGTAAGAACCAACCTATTCCAAAACATTACTCAAACCGTTCAGGGTCTGCCTCCAAGCACAAACCCCAACCATCCCACCTGGCACGAAAAAATTCTTCTCTACGACCCCATTATTCTTGAAGACTTCACGGCGTTCCTCAATACCCAAACACCGATTCGAGTGTATCACAAGGCGTCGCAGAAACAGCTCAGGGAGTGGAAGGCCGTGCTTAAGGCGAGGGGCGAGAGGATTGAGACACGAGGTGGACTTAATAGTTTCGGTGGTTGCGATATGGGGGAAATGGTGGATGATGATGGTGAGGAGTTTGGGTTGGAGATTGTGCCAGTGGTGGAGAAGGAAGTTGAGGACTGGATGGTGCAGAAATGGTGCGAGGAATTGAGCATTTGTTGTGTGTGGAGAGAGAGTAGGTGGAGGGGTGGGGTTCGGGGACAGCTTTACTGAAGATGGTGATAGGTGGGAGCGAGCGCATGGAGAAGGGAAGCCCGAGTGCATGTTTAACGTGAAGGTCAATGGGATATCATGAACATATGCTAATTATAGAACAGGCTTGTTGCAGAAGCGCATTCAGAACAGGTAGTATATAGAATAAGACATGTTACGATCTTTATTGGTGTAGGACAAATTCACGTGACCCAGCCTTTCGACCCTAGGTAACTCATCTGGGACTGAACCCAATCTTATATTTTGTATGTTCTGATATATTTTTGATGTTCTCACTGCATTAGACACGATTAGACATGATTTGCCTCGCGGCCGCTGAGGCGACACGAGAATTTCGCGCTATCACGTGCAACCCCTTCACCGCTTTCCAATCTCCCGAGTGCCCTCCACTTACAAGCTTAAAGGCCTGACCCAACTTTCTATCACTTCCACTCAATTTCCGCGCTCGTTGCAAATATGGCATTCACACAGGTACGAAAATTTCTGACCCCGCGGTTAGCGTATCACCCTACGTGGCCAGCCGGCGAAGTTCCTTCACTAGGTTGAACATACACACATGCATACATAACACCAATCGCAGTGCACATCCCACCTCCGCTTTCAAGCAAGGACTTTCGGCGTAGGTTACAATTTCAATTACGACAACTCACCGGCATCTATCATTCAAACTGTCTCACCCTTGCAGCGTTTCCAACAGGAAGTAGTACGATTGATACTTTGCTCCACCTACAATCACGTGAGGCAAACAAACGTAACTACATTTTTAACTGTTACAATTTAATTAATAAGGCTAAAAAGTAAGCAGTATATAATTAAGGTAGACTTTTTTAAGCTTGCAGTCTCTAACGCGCGTGAGGGCTAGAGGAGCGTGTTTGTGCCACTATTTACGTGTTAGTGTAGCCTTAGAGCTTGCCTTGTACTACAACAACCTTAGATGACCTTATTATAGCAAAAGATAACAGTCCCTTGTATAGGGAGATAGCACAGAGCCTTTAGCAGGGGGAAAAGGATAGTTACTTATAACTATAATTATCTTTTAGGCTTTATAATTAAAGCTTTGCAACTCTAGAAGAACTAGCTACGTTATAAAGTTATTTTTAGTAAATTAAATAACCTTATGTGCTATATTAAAAGTAAGGGGGACTCTGCTACTCTAAAAGCTTTAACAGTTATGTTGTAACTTTTAGTAAAAAGTTAAGAAGTATAAGTAGCTTTAATTAAACTATAACTTAATTGTATTAACCCCTACTGTTAGGTCAAGCAAACAAAAGTATATAATAAGTGAGACGTAACTTGTCTAGAAAGCCTGAGTCGAATCGTACTACTTCCTGATGGAAACGCTGCACCCTTGTTACATCACATCACGACAAATTTTCCCACTACTAAAAAGGCTGAAATATTCTCACGACCATCCCCGACAACATTATCCTCCCCATAATTTTCCCCATTCCCCTCCATTCATCCACCCCTCCGTTCTTACAACCTACGCCCGCATCCATACTCCGATACTAGATCTCTTAATGTCAATGGAATGTCTATGGTGGAAATGCACCCGTTGTGCTGGAGAAAAAGAGCCGCGGAATGGAATCAATCGCCATATCCACAGGCAGAACATGAATGCCAGAATCCGAAGTGTCGTATCGCGGGTGTTTACTTTGTTCGTGGGAGTTGAGGATGGGCGGAAGAGAGCGGGGTTGTGGGAAGGAATGAAGTGCAGACGAGAATAGGGAAGTTTAAGAGAGGTAGAATCTTTTCCTTCCCTTTCTTCATAACGCCTCATGTCTTGCTACTTACTGTTGACCGCATCGGCAACGGAAAAGCTGGTCATCACTAACGAACGGAGAGAAATCTAAAGCACACTAGAGTCATGATCAAGAATCTCAGCGTAGACAAAGCGAATTAAAGCATGAGCGTTCTCAAATTCTCGGCAAAAATAAATGGAGAAAGTATCCATGTTCTGGCAGAGAACGGATGAATGGCTAGAGCAGCCCATTCTTAGCCTAAGACTAGTTAGACCCATGTAGCATACAGTCAATATACATGAAAGATGCCCCGCTAATGATACATGTAAAAAGTTAGAAGGTGAGCAAGTCGACTATAGAACGTTTTAGGGCATAGAAAGAGGTGGATGTGTGCAGGGTAAGGCTTTATCTTTAACAATCTAAAACCTTTGTGTACAACCGCGTGTGTTGATTTGAAATAAGGCAGCACAGGATCCGTGGGACTAACTAATATACTTATTAAGACTCATTTTAGGAAATTCAGAGATGATAGACTCATTCAGCCTGTAGAATCATGTAGCAATTATGGTATTTATGTTACATCCTTGTAAAGGTAGTTGCATTTGCAGTTTGCTATTACATAATAGCGTCTGAATACAAGTCGTACGAAAAGGATAGTTCTTTTGCGTTAAAAAGCCTCTTCAATCCTTTGATCTTTAAAGACCTGTCTATCTTAAATGCTGATAACTCTGCTAGCATAATGTAGCAAATATATTTTATGCACGACACAAAGAATTGTCCAACCCTTAAACTTATCTGCTAGCACATAAAATACTAAATCCTCTGTTTCCCTATTAAGCCTGCTTGTTGCTTTGTTTAGCAATAGAACGCCGCAATGCAAGGCACAATGTTAGCGACTAAGGGCAGCATGCACAAGCGACAGCAACTGTGCCTCTCTGCTTAAAATAGGTGCAAAAGCCATAGCCTTCTTAAGCTCCTAGAAGTTTGCCAGACTAAACTTAACTAATACTAATATTATTGTTGTATTACTGTGATTTTTGTCTAGGTCTAGATGAGATTGTAACGTTCTAGTAGGATAGATAGCCTCTGTAAGGACGGAGCTCTGTACCACTGCGCCAATACAACCAAAAAGGTGCGAATAATCAACCAACGGTTAATTATTGCGTACAGAATAGTATATATACCCGTCGCACGTAAGCGCCATCTCGGCCTTACAGCCTCCTAGCTAACGTTAATATTCTAATAACAGATAACAGCGGGTTGTCAGATTGAAACACTGTTTCTGGGCTTCCTGAGATGAATGATGGGTTTGGATATGATGTATGGGATCGTGATTGATTGTCTTGATTTATCGATCCTTTTTCTGCTCTACTCGTGTTGCTCGGCTTTTTGTTTTGCCGATCCGAGTCCCTCGCGCACTTGCCCTATGCGCGACCAGCTTGCAACGTGCTGCAATTTGCTGCAACATGCTGCAAAATGCTGTAAAATGCTGCAACATGCTGCAAAATGCTGCAATTTGCTGCAACATGCAGCAATTTGCAGCAACATACTGTTCGAGCTTATTTCTCGTACTATGTAGCAGCTTTCGTCAAGCGTTCCTCCTGTCTTGACAGTAGGTGCGCATATCTGACACGGGTAGGACATCTCTAACATAAATACTGTTAATTAAAACCACCTCTTTAGTTAGTTTATGCAAGCGAAGAAGTAGACTTAGAAGAATTTACTTTTTATTCTAAGCATTAGATTTAAAAACATGTTTGTAGAGAGAGTTATACCTTCTAGTCTAGCCACAAATAGCGGTGTGTTTGCTAGGGCTAAGATTAAGGTTAATGTTGTAAACAGCTTGCTTTAACAGTTAACTTTATAGATTTAATTTATTAAAAGGCGTAGGCTATAGATAAAAATAATACTTATAACTAACCTGTATGCTTCTAACGCTCTAATGAAGCGGACTCTGCTCTGTAAAGGCTATTCTAGACTTACAGTCATCCTAGCTCTGCTTTATAGATTAAGCAGTTGTCACGGTTATGTTACAGCTATCCAACCCCTGAGTACCCTAAGGGCTTGGCACAGGGTATATAGGCTCCTCGGCCTCCGTACCTCTGCCTCCGACCCTAAGGTTTACTCTCGTTACCCCCCCTATCCTGCATTCCCTCTCTGTGACCTGTGTTTCCTGCTCGATACCTCTCACAGCAGTGTACTCTCTATAAACTCTTAAAGTCTTGTAATAGAACCTACCTATGTATCTGTTACAATCCTTACTTCGGAGAAATGGTAATTTCCAAAGTACAACAGCCTATGTGGTATTTAGTAGAGAAGGGATGAGAACTTAGCTGGATCAGGTGTACAGTCTGTCGAGCAGAGTGAGGGATAGTCGGGATTTAGGAGGCAGGCTGTGGTTTGTCCCTATAGCTGTATGGGTAGCTAGGTGTTACCAGTTAGGTAGACAAGGGTTAGAGGTATATATGTTGCAAGATATACAAGGCAGCTTAATTCTTATTAGAAAGGATTTAAGCTTCTTAGTCTATTATAAAGAATAAACTAAATGTTAATTACAACCTTCTAACTATAGTTAGGATTAAGACTATATACATAGGGTTTGCATGCGTTGCATGCGTTGCATGCACCACCTGCGTCTGCCTGCAACGCCTGCATTGCCTGCAATGTTCTAGTCCCTATTAGACAGTGCATTCTGCTAAGCATTTGTCTATAAGATGACGCTATTCCTTTTCTGTTTAGTTATAAGGTCTGCTAATTGCAAGGTTAACTGTCTTCTATCTGTTGTGCTTAGGGCTGTGTGCAATAGCAAGCTAAGTCCTTACAGCCTGTTTATTAGCTGTAACACACAGGCTTCCCTCCTAGTTAGCGTCCTTGCTGTTATGTTCTTTCTGTTGTAAGCATTAGGTCTTCTTTTTAGCTAGTACGTGTCCTTTTGTGAACGCCTAATGTATGCTTATTCTTTTTAACTATGCCTTGTTAGGTTTCTTGTGTTTCTGCTGTTAATTATTGCCTTTGTACTATTGCTTGTCTTAATCCCTACTGTTGTACAAAGATGCGTCCCTATAGTCCTTACTGTTTGCATAGTACACCTTACGTGATGTCCTTGTCCTTAGACAAGTGCGTAGAGTGTGTGCAGAAAAGTAGTTATTACAATGCTTTTATTTCTAACGCAGCCTAGGACTATTTAGAGCGTAAAGAGAGAAAGTTGTGTAGGGAGCTAGAGGTAGCAGCAGAGAAAGAGATAAATAAGAAAGAAAGAGAGATGTAAGAGTAGGCTAAATCTCTAAAGTGTCTTTAGTCTTTTATAGCTTAGCAGGAACAAGTTTAGAAATAACTAAAAGTATTAAAAAATTAAAGAGTAAAGTATTTAAAAAGAGACCTCTTATTACTAGATAAGCTTAAAGCGCTTAAGGCAAAAGCAGCAGGTCTTTCTCCTCCTTAGCCTATCTTAAAGGGTTAAAGGCTTTCTACATTACAGCTAACTAATGCAGCAGTAGTTTTAGTTAATAAGGATATTTTCTAGTCTAAAGAACTTTTGCCTAGTTAGTTTAATTTTAAAGGCGTAAGTAATACTTCTACAGCGCCTTCTAGGCGTTCTATAGGTTTGTAGCAGGTTTCTAAGTGTTTTTATAAGTTAAGTATTCTACCTACTTTACTAAGTAATAGTTTTCTTCCTTATCTAAGATCTTTTTAACTTTATATTTAAGTTCTTTTTTATCTTATTTTTAAGTTACTAATAGGATATTTTTAGGTGCTAGTTCTAGCTTAGAAATATAGAACTATAGGAAGATTTTTATGTTTTTTAGTAATTTAAGCTTATATGCTTCTAGGCAGGTTTAGATAACTCTATAAAGCTTTATTTATTTCTTAGCTATCTTCTATGCTAGTTAAGAGTTTTTAAGGTTTATAGTATTTAAATATATATAATTATAGGGGTATATTTCTAGTGCTGTTTGCTAGTGTTAATTTACTAATACCTTTATAGCTTTAGCTATAAGCTAAGCTTTTTTACTTAACTTTTAATATATTTCTAATAGTTATGTTGTTTAGTTTAAAGCCTTTAGCAGATCTATTAGCTAGGTCCTAGAGAGCTTATATTAGTAGAGGTAGCTAAAATTTGCTTTGTATAAGGTTATTTTAGTTAAGGTAGACTGTGTAGTGTTAATAGCTAACTAGGCTATTAGCAACTATTTAGGCTAGTTTGTTTATTTATATAAGATGTATTTTTATAGATACTTTTTTATTTCTATGTTTATTTATTCTATTTATCTATCTGTTTAAAGGTAATAGGCTGTAGAAAGTTTATAAGTTATCTTAAAGTGTTAGACTATAGTTATCTAATACTTGCTAGTAAAAAGCTTATCTTTATTTAAGATAATAATCTATAGGCATTTATAAATTATAAAAAGATTTTTTTTTATTTTAAACATAAATTTTTTTACTGTTATACTTTTCTTTATTACCTATATAAAAACAAACTTTGTAGTTTTATTAACTATTATTATAATTATGTTGCAAAGCCTTTCTATACTAGGTTCTTAAGACAGTAGTAGTTCTGTTATAAAGTCTATTATTATTATAGTTTATAGCTGTTTAGGTGCTATAATTAGCTAAAGTTATCTATATAGTTTATGTCTTTAGAAGTTGTTCTTATTGCAGAGGTTACATTCTTATAGTACCTTAGTGCATAAGTATTTTAATTATAAAATGTCTTTAGAAATTACTTTTTTTATTTTCTTTTAAAGTAATTTTATTCTAGAGTGCCTAAACATTAAGGCTTTATAATATTCTTTAATAAAGTTTTTTTATTTATGTTTTATAATTATTAAAAAACAAATTAATTTTTTTAGTTCTAGTCTGTTATATATTAGACCTTAGTTAGTTTTCTTAAAGATTATAAACTTCTCTATGTCTTTCTCTAATTTATTAAAGTAGTTAAAATGTTTACTAAAAACATCTACTTATTAATTGCTACTTCTAGAGACATGCTTAATAATAAAGTTAAACTATGCTAACTTTATTACTTATTATACATGCATTAAAGAAAGTTTCTTTATTATTAAAAAAGTTACTAAGTTAGCATAGTTAGTATAAATAGTAAATTATTATCTAAGTCTTTATAATTTAATTTTTTAATTTCTATAAGTGTTAACTATAGCTTTAAGTTCTTTGTCTAGTATAGTATACTTTTATTTTGTAAGGGCAAACTTTGCTAAATAGTATGCTACTAGGTGCTAATAGCTGTCCTTTTATTTTTATAGAAAAGCTGCTCCTTTAGCTTGTTTTAAGGCATTAGTGTGTACCTTAGTTTTAAAAGTTAGGTTGTATATCTAGAGAACTAGGTAACTAGTAATAATTTTCTTTAATTCTTTAAAAGACTAATTTATTTTAGTTATTTACTAAAACTTATGTAATGCTTTTTCCTTTATTATAGTATTAGTAAGTAGGAGCGCTATTTTAAAGTAGTTTTTAATTATTCTTTATACATAACCTGTTAGTCTAAGGAATCCTCTAATTTTAGTAATAAATTTAGGTATAGGCTATTTAAGTACTTTAGCTATCTTTTTTAGGTCTATTTTTATTTAATCTTAGTTTATAATAAATCCTAGATACTTAGTTTTTTATATATTAAATTTACATTTTTTTAGCTAGAGGTGTAGACTGTATTGCCTAAGGTATTCTAATACAAGTTTTACTTTAGATATGTAATTATCCTAGCTTACCTTTATGTATACTAGTATGTTATTAAGGTATATAAGTATAAATATATTAAGGTATAAATTTAAGGCTGTGTTAATAACTCTTTAGAAAGTTATAAGTGCATTAGTAAGTTTAAAAAGCATAATAAGTAATTTATATAGTTTTTTAAAAGTTTAAAAAGTAGTTATCTATTTATGTCTTTATTTAATTTTTATTTTATTAAATCTGTCCTAGATGTTAAACTTAGTAAAGTGCTTAGTTCTTTTTAGTTAGTTTATAATATCTTAGATTATTAAAAAAGGGTACTAATTTTTTATAGTATTATTATTTAGAGTTTAGTAGTCTTAACATACTCTAACTTTACTATTTTTCTTTTTTGTAAAGACTACTACTAATGCTACTAGGCTATTGCTTTTTTGTATATGCCCTTGCAATAGCATCTTGTCTATATATTCTTGTAGTGCGTCCTTCTAGGCTTTAGTTAGTAGTTAGAGTTTATAAGCCTTTAGCTATAGTTCTAGTTTAAGATTAATAGCGTAGTCCTATAGCTAGTGTAGGGGTAGTTCTTCTAGGTCTTCTAGAGTTTTAAATATGTCTTTATACTTTTTATATTCTTCTAGTAAGTTTTTTATTTTATAAGTAATTTTATAAATTTTTACTTAATTAAGGTCTTTTTTTTTTTAAAATTTTTTAAAAGATATTTTTTTTAGTTTCTTCTTTATTAGATAGACTGCTTAGGCCTTTAGTTCTTAGTAAGAGAACTTTTTA